CCTCTACGTTTATTAACAATTTATATTTGAAATGAAAATACACGTGTCGACTTATTTTTCATGCTCTATTTATTGGTGAAGTCAGAAAAATTTTATATAATTTAGTTTTAGCTGGGTAAATTTTGTTTAATTGCTCAGTTAAAAACGCAGCTAAGTTATTAAAAAAATTATATGTTGTGCGTCCCGAGATTCCATATCTATAAAAAAAATTTGGTGTTGATAACTTTAGAAACACACCCGTAATAAATTTTTATAGCCCTTCACACTTAATTTTCCCCTTTGTATATCATACTCTCTATGCACACAAACACATACACACATTGCTTTCATTAAAGTTTGTCCCCATTCATGACCCACTCTTCCCTCTCAACCCTTTCACACATACATAAAAATAGACATTCAATCGTCTATTTTTCCAAGAATTAATCCATTGAAACACAATTTCTAAATCATTCTTAAACTATGTTTTATTCATTTAATTGTTACACAATTTAACCACAATTCATGTCATATTCATAATATTAATGTACTTTTTATATGCTTTTTAATGATACCAATATCCGGAGGGAAAACATTGTCATTCCCCGGAATCTTGCCTTTTTTATATACATATATGCTGTAACGCTTGAAAGAGTCATTTTCAAGCCATTCACCAATACTTTACCAATAAAACTCTTAACGTGTTTTTGAACCAAACTTTGGGTCTCATTCCTTTGCACTCTATTCCTATTCTTTGTGCCCGTCTGTACTAGCAGTAGTGGCCATTGACTACCGGCTTTCCCTACACTACCCGAACTGCGGCACGAATACACGTTTGCCGCACAAATACCACTCAATTCCCGTCTCCCGTCATACCCCACCGGCTGTGAGTTAGGCCGTGTCTTCGCCCGTCGGTACAACTGATCCATTCGGATCGGCTATCGACTGTACGGATCGTCACACCCACACCTGATCCGTCACAATTGATTACGAATAACAGTGAATTCAATTATAAAAGCATCAAGTGAAATTCACATAATTATTGCATTTTATTTCATTTTATTCAATAACAATAGTTATAAACATTGATATTAAATATTCAATTTCTAATTAATAAAACACAATTAAAAGTTTTATGATATAAAAATAAAGAATGTTATATTACAAGAATGTTATATTGTATAGGGTTGTTGTTATTTTTTTACCGTAATGAGTTGCATTCATCTAAAATTACATTAATTTTTGATCGCAATGAATAATTAACAAAAATAATATTTTGAATTAAATCACAACAAATATCAATAGTAATGTGTTGTTATATCGATGCAACTCTACTCGATGCAAATCGCATAACGATTACGCTATAGTCTAGTAGTCTAAGTAAGCAAATAGTCTATACTTATAAAATACATAAAATAAAAATTTAAAGTAATAAGTTTGGAAATACTACGTGCTTGTAATTTTATGTCTTGAATCCTTTTAATCTATTGAAATTAATTTTATTCTAAATATTTAATCAAAATTGAATATAATTACTTAAATTTTAAATTTTAAAATATGCTCATAAGTGGACATCTTTATCCATGTTGTATTTAACATTAATAATTATTATTATAATGTTTGAGTTTATATACAATAACTGTGTTGCTTAAGGAATACCAACGTAGCGGAAGGCAAATTATCTTGAAAAAAATCTTGATAAGATTAACATTGGCAATATTAAATCTTTATGTAATATAATTAACATGCATTAAATCTATAAACATAAACAATTATTGTAATTCTGGATTGAAATTAAAAATTATTATTTTCTTTATTAATTATAAATATGAAAATAATTATTAAATACAACTGTGTGCTATTAAATTGTGCGTTGCGTACAGCTAAATTGTATTAATTTTTATTGTAGTGAATAATTAGTAAAAACAATATTTTGTTCGGGTACAGAAAAATTAATATGCAGTTATTTCTCGATCACACTCTACTCGATGCGAATCGCGTAACCATTACGCTTTCGGGTGACATACCGTACGACTGTCCAAACTAATACACCTGATATTAGCAAGGTGGTTATCCCAGCAAGCGCTATCCAGCCAATCCAGGCTATATTTAATTTTAAATTAATTTTATTAATTTAATCAGTTTTAGACTGTTGCACTCATACAAATTTCTAATACGAATTCTATAATTTCTAATACAAATTTAAACCGTTGCACTCACCACCTTTATTAGTCACTCTGGGCGGACACGTTGGCATAGGGTTGCAGTCCCTTTCATCGGACCAATCGCCACAATCGTTGACCCCATCGCACCGGAAATTGGTCAATAAACAACGTTGGTCATTGTCACACATTTTGTCGCACACTGTACAAATGTCCAGGTGGTTTAAAAGCAAGAGATATGTGTTGAAAAAGTTATTCAAATAATCTAAATTAATATGTTAAAACAATGTTGCTATATTTTTAGTTAATCATTAAAAGATAGATATATTAACCCTAGAAACTGTAATAATGTGTTCAATATGATCTTATAATTATTGGCAAAGTGTAACATTGATGTTATGGTTGTGTAAAGGTATGGGTGTATATATTTTGGTTAATTTCTGATATGATTCTTATCTATTAATTATTTAATATTATAATATATTAAATTTATGTTAAAATTATTAATAACTATTTTATCATTAATAATGTAATAAGAAACTTACCTCGTGCCTTTACGGTGAATGTGGGTGGGTAAAAACGTCTATCATCGGTGTAGTTTAGAACAATAACCATAGTGTTTGTCGACGTTGACTGCCATCTGCCATCGTATCTGTCCGGCGAGAATTTACGATCACCCCGGCGCGTTTCCGAGTCATACACATCCATTTGGGTGCCCTCAGATATATACGTCACATAATTAATTACCAAATGCCGATCTGTGGCGTACGGATATTGATCAGGGTAACTTTTAGCAGTTATGGTAAGAACGCACCGGTAGTCTAATTGGCTACCGGTTGTCACGGGCTTTATTGTTATCTGTTGGCCGAGTCTAACAGTGTAGGCGCCACCACAATTGCCCGGAGTTATTCTGGCTTTTATACCACGTCCACTAATACCACCATGATAGGGTGGCAACATGGGGTCGTATGGGGGCACTATAATACGAGTGTCCATCGTAATGTTGAATGGTAGTGGCAGTACCATATCGGCTGGCATTTTATCAGGCTCATAATTCCTGTTGTATAGTTGGTTGTTTAACGATAAACTATGCGTTGCAGCCAGTTCAATGTCACTGAAAGTGATTAGGGCCATAGTCCAATTTGGTCCATTTTCCGTAGAAATCTCACCATTCATTTGCCAGTTAAAAATGCTGCCAACGGGGTAATTGCCGGGATGGTTTTGGGTGCTTACGGTCAATTCGTGATCAGAAAAGGTCATGTTTTTGTCTCTCACATCACGGTCCGTGTATTCGACAGATAGGGTGACCAGCAGTGGGCGCACAGAATAGACATTGTCTGAACGCCACACTTGCAGCGTGTACGTTTCATTAGCTGCCAATATTACATCGGGCATACTTGTCATGAGACCGATATCTGTTAAACATGGTTAACAATTAAACAATTATTGTGTGTTATATAAAATATGATAAAAAATTTCATTACTGATAACCCCAATGCTGGACTCGTAACCTTGCTCTTTGTACGCGGAACCTTTATATAAGGTAATCCAATCGTCAGGGGTCGCGTGATTAACCTGGGTCAAGCGCAAAATTACCGACGTGTTTGTACGGTCAGGTCGACCGGGCATAAGTAGCTAGCACTCTTTAGGTGACTGTGTGTTAACATTAAACACAGTGATTGAATGCCAGGCGGCAGTTGTGTTACAGTTGCCTTCCCTCAGCACTTGGCGCACAACGAGCTGATAGTCGACCCTTTGGTGAAACACTAGTTTCAATTGATTAGTGTTTGACGGTATTATTGATGGCCCGTATGAGCCCGAGTAGAGTCTAATTAATTTGTGATGATCGCTGACTTCTCTATCCACGTTATTGTAGACATCAAATAGCGGCTGATTGGATGAGCCTGGTAGTATTACCGAAGCGTTTAGCTCCAACACTAATTGGTGATCGTTGTCTGTTTCAAACGTGTATATACCGGGATTTGACTGTAGGTGTGTAGATGTGTTCATGTCTATTCTTAACTGATATGTCAGTTCATCACTCAGAAATTTATAATTGCCGCCTGTTAAAATAAAATAAAATAGTTTCATTGTAATCTACAATAGATAATTAATAACATTTTAATTAGAATCAATTAATAAAGGATTTATATTGCGACTGATCTTAATTAAACAATTATATCATTAATGTTAGTCATTAATATTATTTGTTTTAACACAACAAACTGTAATAATAACATTTATAATTATGATTGCTATAATTAAAAGAATAATACTATTTTTATGGTTACTGACCTAATTAACATTTTAAAATTATTTTATCAATAGACAAATGTATGTAGCAATTCAATTTATCAATACCTACCATGATACACCGTCTGTATGCCAATTAAATTATCATCGCTAAGAGTAGTGTTTACCACACGTCTCGACTCATACGTTACAGTTATGGTGTTTGCTGTCGATTGCAAATACTTTGTGCGCCAATACGTGTCCAGCAATTGTCGCTCAATAACTGCGAGCGGAGGGCACTGTTGGGACAGACCGTCCGATACGGTCATAATGTCGGCGCTGTTTATAAACGACTTAAATCGGTCTAATTGTAGCTCAAATCTGGCCGAAACATCATGGTGCTCATAGATGTTGACACATTTATACTGGTGTAATGTTTGTAACGCTTGGTTATCGGGCAGAAGTACAGTGGGGACATTGTCGGTTTGGGTTATCTTAAATTAAAGATTTTTATTTTATTAGTGTTTTAAACTAGTATTTTTATAAATTACAAAATAATTATATTTAACCACTATTCTGATATGACTAATGTGGTTTATAGGATCGTTCGGCTATAGCTAAATATATAGGCTTAAGCTGTAATCCCATGTTAATTCCCCATGGACTTAACATTGTGCATAGGATTAAGCCTATGCCATAGACTTAGCATTACCCATGTTATTCTTATGCCATAAACTTAGCATTGCTTATGTTATTCCTATGTCATAGACTTAACATTGTCCATAGGATTAGCATTGCCATATACTTATACAGTAATCCCATGTTAATTGCCCATAGACTCAAGAATCCCATGTTAAATCCCATAGAGCGGGGGCTGGAGGAGGGGGGCAGAACGATCCTATAAACCACATTATTCATATAAGAATAGTGGTTAAAAATATATATTAAATTGGATTAGCGCATCAAATCTATCAATGTCAATTATTATGTTTGACTTTTTATTAAATTGCATTTTTGACTTGGGTAAAGTCTATACCTAGTCAAAAGAGGTATCATAAAGTTATTTATTTAAATATTTAAATAAAATTATTTATTATCTATTTATTTTAATAATTTATTGTTAATAAACTTGAAGCAACTCTTATATTTTTTATAAATAATAATAGGTTTATATAATTTAATAGAATTGTTGTTTATATTCAACAATAAATACTGTAATAAAATCCAAATAACATCGAAATTATTCTATGAATATAATATAATTTATTCTAATGGGATGCAAACCGCGAATCAATTTATAATGAATGTCTACAAAAAGTTAACTTTTTGTTTGTGTAATACCTGATTACCTGTTTGCCTTTATCATTGCCTTATATTTACCTAATGTATAATTTAAATTTTATATGCTAAAACTTAAAATTACTACAAATTTTATGCTTTTTTAACAAGATTATATGCATAGCCACAAAAATTTATTATTTTTATATTCAACATTAAATACTGTAATAAAATCCAAACAACAAGGAAAATATTCTTAGAAAAATATGCAATTTATTCTAATGGGTGGCAAAGCAACGAGGAATTTTAATTAATATCTAAATGAAGGTGACTTTTTGTTTATGTCATACCTGTTTGTATTGACTGCACTGCGAGTCCACCACTTCGTACATAAACCTGATGTTTGCACTACTCGTCGACTCACGTCTATAGCCTCTAATCATAGCCACAATCTGTTGACCCGTCGACAGCAAAAACTCCGGTCGAGTAGTGTTGCTATCAAACAACTGTTCCATTCCATACTTCTCAACTTTATAAAATCTGATTGTACCACCATTTAAATCACCTGGCTCCATACTCATTAACAACTTAGACTGCGCATGTCTGCTCTCAAACACCAGATCAAAGTCAAGGCCAGTCGACGGGAACTTCATATCCCGGTGCGAGTATGGAAACACATACCGACCCGGACTGTCAATACGGGTCAGTTGTGATTTTAAATCTTTAGTATTGTAGTCAACGTCCCATTTGCGGTCCCAGGGGTCAGATGACAGGGTCAGGGTTACCCTCACCACTTTATGCCCGGTAGGCAATAGAATTACACCTGGCTCCAATTGGCCGTAGTGCTCGTAGAGCACAGATTTACCATCGCGAGTGGTGACCCTGAGCAAATCCCTACTATTCAAGGTCATGGCCTGAATGTCCATGTGTATTATGGCCGGTACCCACGCGCCGGTCCCGTTGATGAGCCACTCGCAGGTATGACCGGCCAGTTTGTGGGGCGCGATATTAATGGCGAGTTTAC